GGGGGGGGGGGGGGGGGGGGGGGGGGCGTTACATGTTAATTTGCGCAATTATTTACAAAAAAAACCGTTTCAATTTCAATGTCACTGATTAAGTGTATGTTCGTGGGCAAAATACAAGGATATAAACATAATCTAAACATCGAAAACGTAACCAAGTCTTTCTGTAGTTTTAGTAGTGTTATATAATAAACGAAAAACACATGATTTTCGCTACATGTTTTGGTTAGATTAGATTAGATTATTATTAAAATTCTTGAATGGCAATTTTACAAATTAAAATTGAAAAACTCAAGATACAACAATTTCCCAAAAAGTTTCAATAAGAGTTCCAATACAGCTAAAAATTTAAAACATGATTTAAGAGTTCCAATAAAATACAGCTAAAAATTTAAAACACTTTGTTATTTATATTACACTTCGCTTTAAAGATATGTAAATGCATAACAGCAAATATCATTCTTGAAAAAAGTATTAACCTTACTCCACAGTGGCAAAAATGTGTCATTACATTAATGTCGTCATTACATCAAATGTTGTTATTACATCAATGTCGGTGTCACTACATCAATGTCGGTCTACTATACATCACCTCTGTGATGCTGTCATGGTCACCTATATAACTAACAATGGAACAGACATAACAGACTTGGAGCCAGAATTTCTTCCTTTCACTGACACAACAATTGTAACTGTCATACCTTTCGTTGCCTTCGAATTTCCTCGGAATGTGACGGAAAACGAAGTCTTCCGACCTTTACGAACTCGGCTCATTGATCGCGATTGCCGTTGAACCGTTCCCATACTTCCAAATGAATTAATGTCGACAACTTCAGCATTTCCAAAGTTCTCAATCATAAATATGACATAACCAGTGCTTCCTTGTTTGATAGTGTAGTCGTTTCTTGCAAACAGAACTTTGACAAGCAGCGTTTCAGGTTTAATGGGTGCATGACAGATACGTTCAAACGGATTGCCTTTCTTCGTTCTGCCTTTCAGTTTGATTTTGAAAATTTGATTTGGTGGGTAGAATTTAAAAGAATGTCGGATTCCTTTCCTATCTTTGGATGTTAAGGAGACGGGTTGGCTTGTCACGATAACGTCGCCTTCTAATGTCACGAGTTCTGCTGTGAGAGTTCGTCGGTCCACATGGGCTATACCACCCAGTGTTAAAATGGCTTCAGCTTTTTCACCTTAAATTAGAAGAAGACGTGTAAGTACGTATGAAGAATGACCATTTGACCGACACGCAGAATAGAAGTACGCCAAGATAAAGTTTTAATTTCAGTCCAGTCCAGTCCAGTAGACTCTTTGCATAGACGTCAAATAAGTCGTTGGACGGTGAGAAAAACAGTGAGATTTTCAAGACAATGAAAGACATCCCATTCATTGGGATGGACATCCCATTCATTGGATCAACTTTAAATGTATTGACCATAGATATCTTATATACACTAGATAGTGCATCTAATTATTCTGCAATTCAAAAATTGAAGCCGTGATTCCAGTCTCAGGTCGTTCCCATGCAATGAGAAGATTCGTATATTTTCTATTTCTTAAACACGGAACTTAAACATGAAGTTAACCCTATTCCAAATACGTTTTTGAACTATTCAAATGATGAAAGTTATTGTTGTTTTTAAGCGTTTATTAGCAAGTGGGAACGACCAACATGGCCGCCATCTATTCAAATAGGGGTAACCGCCGGAATATTCTTGGCTTCAATTTTACTAAAAGAGATGCGCTATCTAGTTTATATAAGATATCTATGGTATTGACCTTATGAGAGTAAGCAAATGATGCTAAATATTTCATTCATTGATTGCATGCATTTGCCACTAAACACAAGGTCCGCAATGTGTTTGAACTTAACAAATTTAATCACACCGACAAAAACACCGACACGTGTAGCACTGTCTCAATACACGTTACTGGAAAGTACGCCACCTAGGCTATAGAGCCTCGTTTTCATGAGTTGGGCTTTAGCTGATGTCACACACACGAAAACGAGGCTCTATAACCAAACTTCGCAGGGCTATGTTATCCGCATTTTACAACATTTTGCAACGAAACTTTACTAATTACTAATTTTGTGATGCTTTCAAGCTGTAATGAAATTTTTGTCTAGACTTGTCTAGATCAAAATTTTGTTCATTAGGTAATAGGTCCATAGGCCATTTCCAAATTATGGTCGAAGGCGTTACAGACAATAGCCTGAAAACGTAGCTTCGTGCTAAATTGTAATGTTTCTGTAACAAATTTAGCACTAAGCTAGAAATTTTCACAATTTGCAAATTGGTGAAAATCACCATTGGACTGAAGACAGCACTCCAGTAATATGTAGAGACCTTACCTAGCAAAGGTGAAGTGATGGGAATAGTAGTAGAAACTCCTCTTCTAACTGTAGTCCTGACAAAGTAATATTCAAAATCAATGTTATCTGCACTGGATCCCTTCACAAACAAATCATAATTCACACTTGAATCAGCCGTGACCCCCAAATTCCAAACTCCAACATTCGGTTTGGAGATCTGGTAAACAGTTCCTTGGTCCAGGTTGTTGGTGGTGACGCCCGCGATATTTCCTGTGGGAGAGGTCAGCGATACACTCCACATACTCCCGCCCGTTGTAGGTTGGTCAGCAGTTACTGATATAACAAGAGTGTCTATAGAATCATCAACTGGAATGGAATAGGAATTTGGAGTTTTTGATAAACTTCGCTTTTTTCGTGCAGCCTGGTTATGAATAGCGTTCACCACAACAGCCGTCCCACCGAGTGACGTGGCAGTCAAACCTTGAAGCTGCTCAAGTTCGTTGTGATCTTTTAATTCAAAAACTTGACCCATAGTTGCTTGTGCTATTTCTTCAAACGATGAAATATCTGCGGTTCTTGCACACCCGGAATTCTGCACAACAAAAAAATTGATAACAACTCCTTGGGCTTGTGCGATCTCTTTCAGGTACAGAATATTCTCTTCTGTCGCGTCTTTCGGGCCAGCGTCAGTGAATACATAGAGCGGCGAATCAGGTTGGGGGCCTTCATCGATAGCATCATTCATTCCTTTAAACGTCAATTCAGCGCAGTCGCCTCCAGAATGGGGAGAGAGGGAATCTATAGCTGTCACAAACCTGTCTCTTTCTGTCTCCTCACAGTAAGTCACTGGACCAGTACCTGAAAAGTGAAAATTGTTGTGAAAAGCAAAGCTACTAGGTTTTTGGCTTTCCATAAGCGTTACGGAGTAACAGATGGTGGAAAACTTTTTTTTGAGACGATCGCGGTATTCGACCAAACATTTCAGCTTGCCCGGTGTGAACACACCCAGAGTAATATCTTCTGGAATAATTTCCCCTAAGTATATACGGGGGCGTTGGAGCCACGGGGGCAACGGGGGGGGGGGGG